AGTGTCTGAATTAATTTACGTGGTGACAAAGTAACGCACACTTCAATGTACATGACCTACTCAAATCTACCCCGTCTGCATTATTCAGCTAAAAAGACGAGTGTCAACAGATGCCACTTCCAGGAAAAAGCGTAACCAAATACGGTATTTCATAATGGTGGTAATTCTCACCTAACTTTAAGAATATGAATTGCCTGCCTGTTTTGTAAAACTTGATATAATTGGTGGTGAACAGTTACATACACAAAGATATGACGACTTCTGGTATCAGGCAGACAAAATACTTCGAGAACGTACGGACTGTAAATGCATGAGTAGAATGTGCAGAGTGTTTTCACTCTTATTTCCGCCATCGTTGATTCGTAGGGGTGCGATTTTATGACCTTTGTCACCGTCACCAGAAAAGGGACGAGTGGAAACAATGTATAAAACCATAAATTCTGGACTTAAACGCTTTGTAACATAGCAGACAAAGCGACATAAAATTTCGCACGATATGAGGTACGTGGATTTCAGGTTCTCTTAAGCAATGTGTTTTCGGGTATATATGCAGCTGATGTTACAAATATAGTGCCTCTTCATCGACTGATGTATCACCAATTAAAAGACAGTGGTAGCTGGCCACTGCTACTCCACAAACAAAAGCGGTTTTTTCAGTGGATGGCGTAACATCCGTTGCCTCCTCCAACTAGTGTGATGGTGCCTGTCTTACTCTAACTTCCGGTCCCGAATCCGTATGCCCATTGTAACCGCCTGCAATTGCTTCCTGATTAACTAACTTCCGCAACGCCAGTTTCACCATTTCAGCACCTACTGACGGCACAGCACTCGAAGTAAAGTAGGAGCAGGCGCCCAATTCAGAATTCATCAATATTATTTATCCCTTGGATTCCTAGTGGAACATAGGACTTCAGTAGCATGCCTCCACTGCACTCTGTTCTCTGCAGTCTCTTGAACCTGGTCCCACGGCTGCCGGCCAGCTCTTACTTCTTCCCCACATGATCTTCTCCATATCACGCTCACCTCAGAAGCCCAACCCGCCGTTTCCCATCTGGGTTCCACTCTAGGGTCTGGCGCGTGATGTTCCAAATCGGTCTTCTCAGTGCATGCCCAATCCATCTCCACTTCCTTCTGCATTGTTGTTGAGTGATAGGTTCTTAGTTGGTTCATCGCCATTTTTCCTTGTTGCCCATTCATTCTGGCCATCTGATCTTCAGTGTCAGCATCGAATGAGCGTAGGCTGCAGCTGTTAATGAGGTATGCCTGTGGTTTGTTGGGAATGCTTTCAGTAAAGAGCCAAGTTTCTGAATCATATAGGCGCGCCGACTTGACATTAGTGTTGAAAATCCGGATCTTGTTCCACATGCTGAGTGCAGACCTCCACACTGGTCCCAGGTTAATGAAGGCCTGCCTTAGTGGCTTTCCTATCCTGGCTTTGGGGTCTTCGTCTGTGCCACTTGTAGTTGAAATGATGCTGCCCAGATAGGTGAAGGGGCTACTTCCTTTAGGTTTCTCTGGTTGATGGTGATTGGAGATCGTTGTTGTTGATGGTGGTGTTGGATAGGTATCATCACCACATCTGTCCTCTCTATGTTCGCCTGAAGTCCTGGTCTTGCTGCTTTCCCGCAATTCAGTAGCTTTATGGAGTCCAGGACTTTGACTTTCGTCGGAGGGCTTGTTTTCACTGTTAGTTCTGTCGTTGCTGGTGGCATTTTTGGGCGAAGTGCAGGTGGTGGTAGGTTCAAGAGTTTTTCGAAGTGGTCAGTCCGTTGATTCTTTTGTTTCTCCTCTTTGGTGATCAGGTTTCCTTCATCATCTTTTATTGGTTTCATCTGTGTTGATCCCTTCCTAGATAGTAACCTGATTATTCGATACGATGTCGTCAGGTCTCTTCTACCTGCAGCCTGTTCTGCTTCACTTGCCAGTAAGTCGTGGAAGTGTCTTTTGTCTTTGCGTGCACTCTTCTTCACTTCTTTGTCCTGCGTAGTGTTCTATACACTGTACTCAGTTCCTCTTTTCGTTGTTCATCCTTGCACTGGCTTATCTTCTGTTTCACCATCCTCCTCTCCCTGCTCTATCAGCTTCCATGTGTCCGTCGAGATCTAGTCCTTATCTTCTTTCTTTTTTCCTCTTCCTTCTGAGCACGGTTATACAGGTTTCTTTCCGCACCTCTTTCAAAGAGTTCCAGTGTTCATCCAATATTCTTCCACACAGATTTCTTCAGGGATGTTGCTAAATATCTCCATTTTTGTCTTGATGGTTGAGGTGAATATTTTCTTCGTAATTTCGTCCTGTAGTTTCCGGGTCTTGAACCTGAACTGGTCTGAACCCACATCTTCCTTTTCTTGATCTCTTGTCAAGTAGACTGTGTCTCCACTTTCTTCAGGTTGGAATTTAGTCGATCTGATCTTTAGTATATCCATCTGGTGAAATCAAATTCATGTCACTTTGTGAATACCCGTATATTTGTGCACACTGCCTCCAATCACCAAATCATTGAATACGCAGAAGTCTGTAAACAGTTCACCGTTCTCATTCATTTCACGGAGCGCTTCTCGACCCATGATAAGTTCCCTCCCTGTTTTGTCCGCCCACAGTTTGGCATTCATGTCACCCCACCCATTACAATTCCGGCGTCACCAACTGAGGTCTTGTCTAGTGTTGATTGCAGTTGTCTGTAGAATTCCTCCTTCTTCTCTGCACCCGCATTATTTGTAGGTGTGTGGCGTAGCATTGTATGATTGTGACTTCCCTTCCTTTTGAGTTGAACCTTGCTGTCATGGTCCTGCAGGAGAAGATTGGCTCCTACTGCATGAGGGCCTTCGATGTTCTTGAAGACATTAAGATGGTCACTCCGATACTCAGTGTGCTAGTGGTTGTCGTCTGGGTGACAATATCGGAGTAGATTATTGACTCTGCTCTCCACTTGAAAGTTTGGTGGGTTCATTTCGATTCCATCTACTTTCTCAGATTCTTAGCATTTCACTGCTACACCTTCCCATCTCCTTTGCAATCTGGGCAGCCTTGTCAGCCAGCTCCGGATATCGTACGGACATTGCATATCCCTACTCTTATTTTCATCGAGAGAAGAGAAGACATATCGACCAATTGTCTTCCTGAAAACTTTCACCAACCGACGTCGTTTTCTTTCCGATTCGAGCGAGGAATAAGTTCCTTTTCGATGATTTCTTTGTGCTTTGAAGTTTCTTTAGCAGTCGGACTGATTTTCCGTGGTAGGGTTGCCAGCCCTATGTCCAACCTCCCGTCTTTATCCGAACTTTGGACCGGCTGTTGGTTAGTTAACTAGTTAACGAGGCGAGGTTAATTCGCTGATTAGTTGATTCTTACCATATCAATGTCTTAAATGTCTATCACCAGGTCACATTTCACGTGCATACGTACTCACGTGTTTTTGAATTGATTGACTGATTATTATACTCGGAGGAATAAATTCTCCCATCCAGCTTAGGTCTTCTCTGTTCGTTACGGGTTGCAGTAAGTGACTCTTGAGTGCGAAGCTCGCGGTTGGTTAAGTGTGCATGTTTTATCTGTTCAGAACAAATAACACAAGCAGAAGTATTGGTTATGCTATGTGATAAGATCTCGGAGTTAGTTTGACTCTAGCCCTAGTGTATCTCAGTTCCGCCATACTACCCACAGCCACACAGTCCTCTATTAAGATTTGACTGTGAGGCAGGAAGCAAAATGATGTTCAAGATTTGCTTGGGAATGAAGATGAAATTCGTATACGCAGAGTTACAGCCTACTAACATGGCAAAATTTCAATCCTGCAAAATAAGTTCAAGTGTATCGTTCTCCGAAACCACTCGAGTTAAAAGAGATATCATTTGGTCAAACACAAAACAGACTGTAGCAAGCTGATGAGAACATTGTAGGCAAACAAGAAATATGTGCTGGAGGGCCTTGGGAGCCAGTCAGCTCTGGAACTAGTCTGCGACTACGAATAATTTCCTTCTAACCTAAAAAGTCGATTTGTCTATGCAACCTTGTTCCAAATAACCAAGGCAGGTTTCTGTCCACCAGTGTCATCCAGTAGGCCGGATGACAGGGACACTGAAGCAGCAAAACACTTCGCCGGACATTACTCACAAACCCCATTGTTGGCTACCTTCTCAGGTGTATGCGAATGCTCCACCTACGCAGATGAAGTCTTGGTTGTGGGTCTGAGCGTTGAGCTAGTACATTCTAGGTTATTGATGCCCAAATAAAATACTTCTTCAACCAGAGCAAATTCCTGTTTCTGTCACGGGAGAAGTTGCACCATTCCCAGCCAGCGTTTCAGTTAAATTTCCCAAAGCAAGAACCAATGGCCAACCTTTAAGCTCGCCCAAAAGACTTCTATTTTTGTGCGTAGCTAGCACAACAGCCAAGGGAATAAGAGGCTGGCATTTCTTTATGTACGCCCTGCAAAGTAATAAAGTCAGCAATCTGTTAGAATAAGAGGCTATCCCATGCTAGTTATACGCTTTACATTTCAAAAGAAAAGTTAAAAGACTTATCAATCACTACAATGGTTGGTAAAAATGAAGAATGGTTGAACTGTAGAAAATAGGAATGGAACCAGCTAGAGAAAATAATAACATGTATTAAAACAAATACCTTTAGGAATATTTCTTCACTCATCTTAGCGAAGTTGTAACAATTATTTAGAGGACACATAATTCAAACCTCAACAAATGAGAGCCATGCAAGAGTTACACTTCGTAGTAAATACTCATCCTTGCAACACCACTGTTGCAGATGTTGGCCGAGATGCTTTGTCAGAATCAGCTAAGCTGCATCTTGATGCCTACTTAGATTGTAGGTTCAATTTGGTTCACAACCAGTTGAGCTGGCCTGCGAAATCCTAATTCATCTTTATTGTTTCTGACAAAGTCTTGAGAACAGACGAGCTTCTGACTCTTGTTTCTGTTTGAAAGCATTTGAAACTAATTGAATGTTGGATACTGAGGCGGCCATTGAAATGTGGTGTTACTTACATGCAGAGTAAGTTGTTAAGGTGGCTTTATCGTCGCATATGTTTGTATTTTCATGGTCTGTGTACCACTTATTTCATCGTTATTGCTGTATACTTGGCCGCTTTGCCTTCCCTTGACCAGCAAGGCGAAGTTTAAGAATAGTAAGCCCCAACTGAAGATCTGAGTTGCCTTTTTAGGAATTGTCCTTGTGCTATCTTGACAAACGTGGACACCAGTCACTAATTATTCGTACTTGTAATATACACACCGATGCGAGACCAAGAAAGAACACAACAGCGTAGTCAGATGGAAATAGTGTATTTGGGAGGCCGTTACAAAATACCGATGTGTTCCTACTAGCTGGCTAGAGAATAGATTATGCAAGTGCAACGTTATAGGACAACGTACCAATTGACATGAGTGCTTGACTGTGTGTTCAGCTTGGTGAGTCCCATTAAACTATGAAGGTCAGCACCACTTGAATCTCGTTGTACCCTAGGTCATTGATTTTAGGAAGTTATGTGCCGCTGCAGATCACCCCCTAAGTGGTTCGTGGGGACCCTGAGACAAAACTAACTGAAATTAAAAATTCGGTGGTTTCATCACTAGTAAACTCTCCCGACGGAGTCACTGCGAGGAGTAGTCCCTGGTTGTCTGAACTCATTCAAGGGTGTCGTTGGGGATGTAAACAAGCAATCAGTCGGATGGTACGCCGAACGCAACCTCTAGGGTGCTTTGGTGTTTCGCTCAGTGCAAGTTGCACTTAGAATAGCGGAAAAAGTCTTTAATACCACCAAAAACTTTTACGATAAGACGGAAACATGGGGAACAGTTTTTATCACTAGTTTTGGCTCGTTTGAATCCCTGCGTATGCCTTTTGGTCTTCAGAATGCAACACAAACATTCAAACACTTTATGAATGATGTCTTCCGTGGTTCGGGTCTCGTCCATGTCTCCATCGATGATTGTCTCGTGAGTCCAGGTTAGGAAACTCACCTTAAACATTTCGACCTCACATTTAGCAGACTCAGAAAACATTGTATCGCAGTCAACGCACAGAAATGTAAAACAGGAGTCGAGTCGCTCAATCTTCTTGAGGAAAATATTGACAACAAAAATATACGCCCATTGATAGATGAAGTGGCGGGTGTCATGAACTAACCCGAGCCGACTACTAAAGCAGATTCGCACTTTCAGTGGCCTGGTGAGCTACTATCGAAGGTTTATTCATAACTGTCTCTTTCAAGACCACTTTCAGATAACCAATCGACTGCTACACCTTCAACAGTCAATCATGGGGTAAGGTGGAAAGTAAAACCTCTTGGGTGAAAAGATACAGTAATGAATAGGGGTGCTGCAAAAGCTCATAAAATACTCACGTAGAGCAGTTTTCATGAATATACCCAATCAAAAAGGAATGTGGAATTAACACGGGCGAAAGCGTAAATAATACAGTGAACTGTGTAAATAATGCGAATAGTTTTGAAATAATCCAAACGATGCATGGAAAATCCATCAGTATGTCTATGTCGAAGTTGAACAAGATTGGTAAGAGTGACTATCCTTGACGTACACCACTAATTGTCGTCGATTAACATCACGATCCCATAGGTGATCACATGGCTGCGTAGGTTCCAGTAGAGATCTTTGATTAGCGTTATATACTTTCCGGTACTCCCTTCACAGTCAAGCACTGCTACAACACCTCACGGTCGATGGAGTCAAGTACCAACTTCAGGTCAAGAAATGTGGCATAATGGCCGCCGGTAGGTATGCCTGTGTTTCAGGACCTGTCGTGACTTTCCTTCGCGACACAATTTATACTGAACTTTGACCAGAAGTTACTCCGGAATGTTGTATTCCTTTTACTTATATATTCACGAATGTACAGCTAAGAGAATGATTTCGTTGGAAAAGAAGAATTTTTCTTCTCTGCAATTGTGTTTTCCCTATAAATAGGTGGGCATGATTAGAGTAGACCAGTCTAGGTGCACTACCTCTGACTCCCATACATTACCTAGTTCCTCCGTCACTTTTATTAGCAGTGTTTCACCTCCATCCTTGAAAAATTCATGTGGCAAACTGTCAGATCCTGCTGCTTTTCTCCTTTTCATGTTCGATAAAGCCCTTCTCAACCTCAAGGAGAGTTAGATGACCCACATCTACGTCCATTCAGGTTCAGGCCGAATGTTGGTAGGCTGAAAAGTTGTTGAGGACCAGTTGAACCGTGCTTCAGCATTCCTTCCAAGGTTCTGGCCGCCTGTTCTGGAGGCTATCTGCGTCTCATCCCTTTCGGTGATAGTTTCACTAACCACCCTTTTCTTGCCTGTATCCTTTGTAAACCCAAATAATCTCCTAGTATTACCCAACTCTTTCTTTGGCCATCCACCACTGCTCGTGTAGGACGTGAAGACTCTAATTCAACCTACGTTTAGGCTTCTTTCACTCTTCATCGTGGCCAGAGTCAGCTGAAATCAGTCAGTTCGGACGACACAGGGGACATCCAATGACGTCTGCTAACCTTCGGGTGTAGGTTGGTAATTTTCTGTACCGCACTTTCTACAGCAGACAATATCACACCATGTTTCTTCAGGATGAGCATTGCTGTCATGTTCAAATAAATGCTTAGCTATCTCTGCCTTAAATCAAGACTTGACGTCCTCATCTTCTAATCGACCATAGACAGGCTTCACTACCTCCTGCTTTCTGCGACTGGCAAGGCACAAACATACACGAGCCCATACTAACGGGTGGTTGGAGTCCAAACTGGTACTCCAGAAAGAGCTCCAATCCTCCACTAGTCCTCTCCAATGATGGGTTATATCAATGTGATCTATCTGTGTCAGTTGTTGGCTTCAAGTTGGTGAATGCCATGAGATAGTATCTCTCCTTATGCCTAAAAATAGTGCTGGTCAGAAACCAGTGATTATGTGAGCGAAATTGCAACAGACAATCACCGTTGTCGGTTACTTAACATGAGATTCCGTAAATGCCTCCAGGACGCCTTTCCGACTGGCTCAGCTTGTCCACTTAAGCGTTAAAGTCACCTGTCATTATGACCACGTCTGAACACTTTGCTTTCTGTAGCAAAACTGACATCGAATTCATCCTTTACAACTTCCAGACTGCAGTCAGTGGATGCATAGGCGGAGATGACAAAGAAGTGTCGCCTAGTCTCATGATCCTTCCTACTCATTACAGATCCATTCAGTCGAACAGCACATAGAGAGCTGTTTACTGCTATTTAGTCAAGAAACCCACTTTATGCTCTACAACTCAATGCTATGCCTACACCAGAGAGCACATGAGAGCTAACCATTGGGTCTCTGGATACTCTTAAGGTGAGTTTTGAAGATTCACTACTATGGGCAAGTGGGGTCAATTGACTAACCGTACTCAAATCCTGTATACATGTCTCAGTGACAGCGTACATCCATGGCTAGAGATTCTGGATTTCTGGTGAGCGGTGCTTGCTGTTCGATTTGGTATAGAGTTCAGACGTTGAAAGGTCCAACATAAGATCGATGGTCGGGTCATAGGAGACTTGGAATAGTTTCGATGGCTTTGGTCGTTGGCAATGGTTGCAACGTAAGAGGTTGCACAGGGCGTAAGGGGCCTAATATGAATATAGGAAGACAAAAGCAAAGGAGAAGATAGAGTTGATAAGAACAGGTTATGTTTGATAGGGTCTTGTGTACTGCTGGAAGTGCGCGGGCGGTTTATACTTCCCGGCTACCCACACCGTGGAAGGCTATTTTTTCTTAAATGACCCGAAATCAAGAAAGATTTGTATGACTGCAGAGCCCATTGGACATCTTGAGGCGTTACATGGGTTGGTCTCCATGGAAGGCATATAGTTGACTTGGAGTAGGCAGGTGACGTTTTTCTGTTAGGTGAAGACGACGAAATTCAGGATCTTGGGAAGAACTTGGGCAGAAATTTGAGTACTTATATCATGCGTTTCGCACCTGTTAGATATGAGATTTTGATTTAAGACTGGTGTGCAGCTACTCTCAATCTAGGGATGAATTGAAGTTGTTTGAATGCTTTTTTAAATCTCACTTAAGAAGTTGTATCAGCTCAAATGGGTTTGCTGCTGAAGTCATATCAAATGTCTATGACATGGACTATGAAAGTATAAAATTTGAAAAGTGACAGGGTTTCGACAACAGGTGTTTTCTGAGCATTGTTCGTATGTGATAAAATCAGCGTCTAGGATTTAATGATTGTTTTCTTCTATCCGTGAAGGACTTCAATTAATAAAGCGTCTTACGGTACGCAGTCCATGCATCTTATGTTCTGCTCCTCTGAGTAATGCAGGTGGGACTAACTACATTATTTAAGATTTAGCAGGCTGGAAGTGTTACATCTCTCTGGAATAAAGCCTTTGTACTCATCTTTAGAAATGGTCTGCATGGTGTATGTGATGACCCTCAGGGCATCAGTTTGCTTTCAGCATCGTCTGAAATGTAGACTGTTTTCATAATACGCAGGGTTTGAAAAACGCGTGGAGAACTGATCCACAAGGAGTCCGAGTTTCGTTCATGTTGTGGGGGGTGCATTGATCACCCTCCGCCAGGTGCCTGGATGCCATGACATACTGCAAAACAAACATACTGCAAAGTGCATCTACAAGACTGGGAGTAACTTGTACCCGATGCCACCCTTTGTAATGAGTGAACCGTTGAAAGATGTCAAGAAGTTAGTGCACGTGGATAGTTGTGTGAGTGCTGGTGGATATGTGACTGATGAAGTTTCAAAGTGTATATTAAAAGGCAGAGTGGCATACACCAATATAGGTCAGCTTTGGCACGATTGTGATAACGCTGCTGTAAAGGGTTGAGTATGCAACACGTCGATGCATGTAGTTCTGGCTCACACCTGTGAAATCTGACCTCCGAGCTGAGAATGTCCGACAGCTTGACATGTTTAATCACCGTTGTCTCTGTAGAATTGCTCGCATCCAGTGGTAACATTAAATAGTTCTGAGGTGAGGTGTCGTGTGTTTTCGGGTGTGATGTGGATCGTGATTCATCCACTGTGGTCGTCTTGAAATACTAGTTTTGGTTATCTGAACATGTTACCCATGTCGTCCCAGCGGCTCCCTCACTGCTCAAGAACAGGTTGCAAGAAGTGGGTAAGTGATTAGTATATATGACGTGAAGTCGTGGGATCAAGAGTATTCAAAAAATACAAAGTAATTCAGCATCCGTAGGTGCTTCACGACCATTTGTATTGGGTCTGTAAGGTGATACATCCCAGTAGTTTGAGACGATACCAGGGGTGCGACAGACTCGAAACCAGTAGCGATCATGCTACAGTTTCCTTGTTTCCTTTGTTGTCGAAAGATGAGATGGAAGTAGTGAGTGCTTCTTCGGATGTATATTTGAGACTGCTTGCTTTTCCGTTTCCTCTGCCTTTATGATGTTGCACTACTGTTTTGAGTGTGGCATCTATTGATGCCTGTGTTGTACCAAGTTTGTTATCCTAATTGATAATAGTGTAGCAATCCACATGTTCTTCACATGCTGCTGTGAAGTGTGGCGACTTGAACCGAAGCACTACTGTGCCATTTTCTTTGTTAACTTGGTGTGTTGTTAGTGAGCTATACCTATATTGTGTTCAATTTTCAGTGAGTCCTAATTTTTGACCTCATTATTTCCGTTTCAGGCTTTTGTTTGTTAACTGCTTGTGTCTGTGTTACTGATGTAGATGTATAAATTACGATGGTTGAGTCAGAGGTTTGGACACTTCGTCACTTGCTGAAATTCGAACAATTTAATAGTACCATAGGCCCTACATTATATATATATATATATATATATATATATATATATATATATATATATATATATATATATACATATATATTACATGGTTAACTCAGTGCATCGCGACCTTTCCGCGTTGCATAGGTATTGCAACATTTATGAATCAATGATATATACTGTATTTGGATTAGGAAGTACTTCGACCCTCATAGGCACTACTTCGAGTTGTATACTCAGGTACAGTCAGTTTGCAATGTGTCCCGGGTTCATTTTGTCAGTGTTTCCTATTGAAACGCTTCTGAAGCGGTCCAGAATTAAATATATTTTAATAATAAGAAATCGTCGTTTGAACTTGACGAAAAAATCCAGAAATGCAATCGACTAGGGACTTGCCTGGTTGTTTGAAAGGGATTTTTCTTTAAATTGAAAGGAATGTTGAAGAGTGATGCTATCCCAGGTCTGCTTATCAAAGGCGATAAAGAAATTTCCAAACCTGTTTTATGGTATCAAAGCTAGAGCTGTAAAACTTTCTCACCGGTCATGCATGCAACACTACTAAGTCAGCAAACATAAGATGCATAAGTTGTATGTTGTGAACCGTTGCTCATGCTTTAAGAACCCCAGTTGAGCAGCAGCAATCGCTACAGAAACCGTGTGGTGTAAAGACGTGTTTTTGGACATGGCTAAACACTATGTTGGACAATCTTTTAGAGTATTGTAGTAGTTATACTAGTTAGACTAAAAGGATAGCTTAGTACCAGTTACCTTCAAATTGGGCTGATTTTTTTGTCTATCGGGTTTGTCGGGAACTGAGGTGCAGGAACCAACTTAACAAGATCAAAGCCGAAACGCACTAAGCAACTGCCTTCACATTCATGCAGTAGACAATGGGCTACACCTATTGTGAGGTCTATTAATACTACTAGGCTGCCGTAGCCTTGCTAGGTGGAGTGGGATGCAAACCAGTGGCTTGCTGGTTCCAAAGTTGAGTGTTTACTGCAGTGAGCCACAGCTCCATATTAGATAATTCAGCAGAGTCGATAACTGTACACCAAAAAAGAATACTGTAGGGTGCAAAACATCGAATATTTTTAGAAGACACGATTTCGTTTGTACTTCGGCCCTTATTAAAAACAACTGTTAAATATTCAAATATTTCACCGGTTAGCTGTATTCATTTGTCAGAATGTCATAGAAATTGGAGAGTTTGTCAGTGGCTCATATATTATAGAAGTAGAACATATATTAGCTTTTACATATGAAAAGTAAGGCTCCTAAGTTTTTATTGAACAATAAATGTGTGCATCGATGGAGCAGCTTGTTGAAAGCTGTTTTCGAATGACTAAATGTCGATCCTCAATAGCTGGCAAAATATGTGCCAGCGATATACTAGATGATGAAATACGTTGCATACATTTAGTTTCAGAGAATAATGACTATCTGGAAAACTTTTTATTTTACAGTGGAAAAAAATTACTCGGCGAGAAGACAGCTTCCGTAAGGAAGGAAGCTGTCTTTGGTAAATTCCCTTTATCGGTGACCAGCTGATTCATATAATAGTTTAAAGGCTTCGGTCGGCTATCAGAAACACTTTCTACGCCACTTGTCTATATATAACTTCAGGAACACTAACTCAGTAAAATCCCGTTAATCCTACCTCAAGTGTTATCCACATGTTCACCCGCAGTTATGGAAACATGTAGAACTAGCTGGATAATGCAGTACTATCGGAAAGAAAATGTTCATCAGTCGCTGTTGAACCATATGGTCAAACTAATTAGGCTGAATATGTCTAGGAATTCGGAATCATATGTTGCCGAGCATTTGTTGATGACTGGTAACGAAATCAATGGTAATAGCTGTTTTTGAACTATTTCACATAACTTTAGTTCAAAGCTATTTCAGGTGATGGAAGCATTTAGGATTAATCACATACTACTAAAATTGTGTTCAGAAAGGGATGAATATAACACTTCATCTACCTTAGACTACTTGACACATCATAATGATTGTTTGTTAGTGTCTCAACATCATAGCAACAAAATACTGGCGAATATTTTATTGCAGAACATCTATTGTAGAGAAACTGCGGAGTGATATAATTCCATAGTGTTTCCCTTTTTAATACCTACTATTAAAAAAACAGAAGACAGAGACGACGGAAAGAATGTTTATTATCAATAATTGGAACGGTAGTCGTTACATATGGTACACGTTGCAATAAACCCGTCATTTGCAAGATTTACTTCGTTTCTCTCTTGATTTGCTCTTCATACATTCTTATCAGCTAATTTGACAGGATGATTCACTTCGAGTAAGATTTTTTACTATTCAAAGTTGATCATACAGCACTGAAAAAGTAGTATAAGGTTCAACCAGTTTTGGATCATAAACTAAGCCGTTACATAAGTTCAGGTGACCTCGAACCTTTATAACGAGATATTGTTAACCTCTAGGCTGAAAGTCTGTGGTAGAAAAAACAGTATGTATTTGGTGAATCGTATATATTTTATCACTAAGTTTGTTAGTTCTGTTAGTAACCATGAAATTCTGTTTATCACACCAAAAGTCCAGTAGAATCACAACTAGTTGCATTAATAGGTCATTGTTAGCACTATGTATTTAAGATTTTAGCTACTATAAATTTTAAGAATAACCTTGTTTATTTCTCAGGTTTCACGTTGCTGCATTCCAAAAATGACCAAAGGACCAGTGAAGAAGCAGCACAGGATATACTCGAAGAAAAAATCTCGCGGGATCATCATTTCGGTAAGACATATTCCTTTTCATTTGGTAGCGCTTTGAGTCTCTCAAGAATGATTTGGAACGTTTTGGGAAAGTTGGTGGATTATTTGACAAGCGACTCGGTAACTCTAATGCCAAACTCACGGAATCAGAAAAGTCCCTTCAAAGACATATCGTGGAAAAGTTGGTAATTACTTCATATCAGCTCATCCTATATATAGAGACAACTTGATAGTGTGTCTTTAGAAAGCATTGATGATAAAGACCCTCTCTTCAGGGCAGCCCATGATGGAACTAGGGCTGTTCAAAAACTCTGCACCGCGGATGATGTAGAAGGTGGAATTGGAGGTAAAACAGTCTTATTGTTTAACCTTGTAGGCCACATTGTTGATGATGTTTTTTTACTGACAGTTCAGTGATATCAAACCTGGATATGATTTCAAAAGTTCTTTGTCTGAAAAGATCGCAGTTACAAAATTGGAAAGGTTAAAACGTGTTGAGGAAAACGAAGAACAACGTGAACGTCTGAAAACAGTTAACAATGATTGGACTAACAATATACGTTTTCTCCTAAACAAGGTTCAAGGTCTTGGAAAGGTAGGTTGTTCATTTGTTGTAAAACAATTTGTTTTAGCTTCCTGTAATACATTCTAAGCAGAAAAATACTGCACACGTTGCCCGCTTATTAGAAGTGCTAACAACAGACAAGAAGATTGTACCTATCGGTTTTGTTCCCCGCATACACAACCCCGAGGAACAACTCTCCAAGCTTCAGGATATGGTGGACACTCGCAGAACTACGTGAGCTCCTAGTTTAAAATAATCTATGATATATATTTGAACTGGTATGTTGCCTTCAAGTAACGGAGGTGTATATCAGCTTGAAGGTATCAATTTATTCTATTTTGTCAGTGAGTTTGAATTTTATCAAGCCTTGATTTTTTTTCGTGAACACTGTCACTAGGTATGATGGGATCGTCAGACTGGAGGGCACCAAACCGTTATCATTCTCATTGAGTTATAAATATTTCTCACTATTTCAGTATACTTTTGTCCTTAAATTCAAGCCCCGAATAGTGACGGGTGTTTTAGGCGCTGACCAAATTTACTACTTACCAGTTTTGTAATGCATGAAACATTTTATACACAGTTTAATCACTATTGAAACACTCATATCTACCTGCAGATTCATCTTGGAGTGTCATTTAGTTGTATATTGTGTTATTTTGTGATACTTATGTCAGAGGTATTGCCTCTGGTGGTCCTATGATTGCATCATGGTTCAACAATTGCAAAAAGCTACTTAGATTTGAGATACGTAACTACTGACCGTTCAGTTTTTATGCGATTTAAAAGCTTTTTATGTTCATTCAAGATGATTGTTGTTGCCGACCGTGGAATAGCCTGCATAAATTAGCGAATAAAATTGATAGTTCCATTAGTCTATTTGGTTCATTAGCATTGTCGAGAAAAATCGAAATACACTCAACAGCCATGTGCAGGTTCGTGCAGTAGGCAGTGATCCATGCCTATCGTGTCAGGGATAACGACACTACCTGGCTACCCAAATCTGTGATCCACTGATTGAAAGTCGAATACCCAGACCAGTGAGCCACAAATCCTGCATTTGACATTTTCACTTGACTCTCAACTATCTCATAAGTGAGTAACAGAATAGGAGAACTGTGAGTCTGCCTCGCGCACGAAACTATGTGATAACTTAGTTTCAGCCATTACTGAAGAGTCCATTGTTATTTCGTGAGTGAATTCGTCATGACGTCATTTGAAGTTGAAACACGTATGACAATGAGACTCATTTGATTCTTCTGAGCTTCGATAATAATGATAATTTTAATAGCTGGTAATGACAAGAAGTGTAGAGCTGTCACTTAGTCTGTACGAATCAGGATTCACACACTGTTCCATCTACTGGTATTATCATCAGTTCTAGTACACAAACCTGCATATGGTTAGTGAATTACATTGCATTTCTTTTCCGGTAACGGATAATGTTTTTTCTCAAAAAATGAGATGATGAGAAAGCAATAGAACAAGGTCGATCCATTTCATTACCCTAATTGTGGTTGAATAAAGGAATCGGTTATTGAACGAATTTCTTTAACATATGCGAAAGAGGTATTATGAATGTCTAAGTTAGATCGATAATCAACAATTTTTGTATATTATTCGATCGTGCTTCCCTATCATTAGCAAAAACCCTCTTCTGACATCTACAAAATGTCAGAGGTGTTTGAACTACAGTGATTTGACGTATAACTGGGGTTTGGGAGCTCAAAACTTATCAATACCAAGCAATTTTCAGGCATAGAATGCATTAATCAAATCATTTTTGATAAGGTGCTAAGCGCACAGCGCTATTCTGAAGTCGACATTTGCTCCAATTAGCCCGAAATGTGTTGCGACATTGTTCAGTTATAAAGTATTTTTTATTGGTAAAGAAACTTTACCTGGACGCGGTTGTTTGGGGTCTACAGAGTGCTTCCACCTGATCTGTCGACAACCAGTGATTTCTACGAGGAAAGCGGACTATTAACGTCGCTGTTCACTTTTGTGATGGATATGTTTATAAAAAAGAAATTCGTTTGCATTCGTTTTCTGTGAGATTCATCTACTCAGAAATGTGTGATGCTTCAGGACTGTGTTTTATTTCCGTTTACTTTAACAGTAGTGGGTAAAGTGACTGAGCGTGTTGGAGACTTGATTTACTTTGAAAGGTGAATCATCCCTAATGGTATGCAAAACGTTCGTTTGGCTTTTTATCAGCTTTTGTCAAATATGACGCTCATGGGATATCCGACTCCATATCGAAAACGCATGTACTTTGCTGCAGTTTTTGTTGCTGACAAGCGAAATAACTTCCTTTCTTGAAGTGTTTATTAAATAGTTAAATACAAGTTCGAACTTAGTATGTCTAAGCTCCCGTGTTATGTACCCAAACCTGGAAAGAAGCTTTGTTGGAATTACACTTATAGATTCATCGATACGTATAACCTTAAGGTTTAGAGTTAGGTGTGGTGACAGTGAACAGTTCAGTGATTCATAATAAAAAATTGCATTATGAAACTATAATTAAGGAGGTTTGTTTTGAATCAGTCGGAAAATCCAACTTATGGGACAAGCAAAAGCACTTAAATATTGATTGTTAAAAATCGTTTCATGAACCCGAGCATAAGTGAATGGAATGGTCAAGGTAGTTGTTGTAAAACTTAACGAATGGACATTATTCCACAAGTACGTAAACTTTGATAGGAAGCACCATAGAAGTTGAGGGTTCATGAGGCTGTCAGCGTGAAGATGGATAATTCCGTAAGTTCTTAGAGTTGATAGTTCGAATAAAACATGGAACATTAAGGTTTCGTCTAAACTTCGGACACTGTAACAAGAGTCATCTCAACGGGGAACAGAAACCAGTAATGTTAGTCCTACCTCTTTTTCCGTTTTTGTGTATCCTCTATCAAAGCTTATGAGAGACTTTAAAATAAGAGACCGACAGCTGTTGCTACACTGACTGAAATGATTGTTCTGTAAGGTCGTGCCATACCACCGAGGTCTGTTGGCTGGGGATAAGACTAAAAGGAGTTACTGTCTTAATGTAAGCACAGTACGTTATAGTGAAGATCAAAAGGTGAATTACGGGGCGTGACAGCAGTAAGATGTTTCCCGTGGATAACCAGCATTCTATGGTAATTTTGTCTTCGCTCACTAGATGGAAAGGTGTGAGAATATTGTCCCTAAAAATAGCACACCTGCCTGCTCAAAAAACCTTGGATTTTGTTTGCCACTGGAAGAGAAGTGTGGATGTTGGCGTTGAAGTTTTTGTTACAAGTACGAATGTAAAATAATTCTAAATCAGGAATTTACAGGAAGACCGAGTAGAACTTGTCTCAAACAGCTGTTACTTTGACTCTGCGGTCACGTATCATATTCGTTGAAACCGTCCTTACCAACTCACTTTCTCTTCCATCTACATTAAGAAGAAGCAAATTTAAACTATGTAAGAAGTCAGGAAGTGCCAACCACTATTGGCTCTGTCAATACTGAATTCTTTTTTGATCATAGCCAAACCTCCTCCTCAAAGTCCTCTTGATTCTCTCTTAATTTCTGTCTGCCAATAATTCTACTCTTGTTTCAGCTCACTATGCAACTTTCAATAACGATCCGGGCTTATGTAATAGGATCCTTGGCTTTCTGAAGAGTAGCACTCTGAACTATCAGAGCTTTTTATGCATGGACCTTTTGTCAAAGTGAACAACAGACTTTCGTAACCAAAACTGATGTCTCTGTACATGAGCGCATGCTGTTTGTGACATGCATACAAGGTCTGAGCGTAGTGATCTCCCTTGGTCAGTCAAGGGAACTGCCTAATCTACCCTTCGTATATCTGGGAACTCGACTAGTTGTCAAGTTCTTGTGGGTCTAGATCCAGAATGAAATCCCGTGACTTAAAGCATATCGTTCGACTTGATGTTAGGTGGCTCTAAACTGTTCACCTGAGTGGTATAGAAAGGATCGTGATATTTATCGTTATCTTCATGTAATCAATGCTTACCCATCCACTCACCGCAGTTCAGATAAAGTTTACCAAAATACTGTAGGATACTAAGTAGGAAAGACCATTCAGTTGATTAAGTTATTAACTCGCGTCTTTCAGGTGGCTGGCACAAAAAGAAATGTCACCAGTTCATCAGGTTAGTACTTATTGTTCCAATTCGTATCGAGGAATGTTAACTTCTTTACTGTGTTCCATAAGGCAATCAGGAGCGGTGGTTAGGAGCCATCGGTTCTGTGTTAGAATCAATCGCAGTGAAGCATTCGCAAACACCCTTTACCTTTGTCTGTATAGTCATTTCATTTTTCTTCACTTCGCTTTACGTTATCTTGTAGTAAGGCAGTTTTCAGCTTTTGATCTCATTATTTAAATTTCTTCCTTTCCTCTTGTTAATTTCTACTTTTATGCTTTTACGGTTTGGTTTGTAAAGTTGAAACATTATGCAGTAAGTTACATATTTATGTTGACTGATTGATTGATTTCGATAAACGAGTAGTCATCTTCAGTTTCTCTTTGAATTTCTAGACATCCACTTATGCTAACCCATTTAATCTTTTTCCAAATGATACACCTATATAAAGGAAATGAATAGTCAGATTCCTTTGACTTTTCCTTTCTATGCTGTTACAAAATGTGACAACTTTAGCTGATATATTCGTGTACAAGCTTTTATGGTAATCTGCCAGTCTGAACAAACAGCTTCAAAAGTTATTTGCGCAAGTAACAAGGTGTAATTTTGAATGAGAAATGTGAATCCATACAAATAATTCGAGTATGTATACCTATACATTCTATTATACTGACTGTGTGTATTAGTTGAAAGTACTCTGTTTCCTTTTTTTGTAGTATCAGAACCGAGGAACGTTCCATGAAAGGAAAAATATCAGTAAGTTTAGAAGCCACTATTTGGCGTAATTCTACTAGTTAATGTTCTAGTTTAGCAAACTTCTTTCTGTTTTCATATTAAAATGCAAAAGACATTTACTAACTCTGTGGCTGATTATTTTGGTTGCATTTCCAGGTCAGAATGCTTCGTATTTTACTCACATTGCCAAAGGAAAAGTTGTATGCCATTACTTACATATCTGCCCAGTTGTGGACGGCGAAGTTTCAGCGTTTGAAAGATGTTGTCCGTTATCTTTTTCTAACCCAGTTGGCCATTGAGTATTGCCAAAACGAATTTAATCGCCAGCAAAGTGACGAAATATCTACAAGTGTTACTAAATATAGCGTTTTTTGTGCGGAAATCATTCATTCACTTGCTCAAATGTTTCGGCTAACTGTTGCTGATACAAATTCACAAAACATTTTAGTCCTCAAAAAGTCACCTCCCTCTATTGAATCGTAAGTCGTCTCTATCTTTACGTCCTCTTATCTTCATTATGTTGATCAAACTAATCTCAGTCTCTGTTTTCTGGCAACTGGTTTCTTTTGGTTTTAGCGCTCTATTTACTACTTATTTGATACTATTCATTTCCAATTTAGGAGTCTGTGGGGATTTATCGATTTCAAGTTGGTATTCATCACGCACTGACATCAATCAATCCTCACAAACCCCTAAATTGAATTAATCTGCTGCTCATTGGTGACTAGCTTCTAAAGATGATTTCAATGAGAAGTCGTGACTGGTGGGACAAACCTGTTGAGCGCGGGGACAAATACTCAACGATGACGTTGGGTAGTGGTCGTACTATCTCGTGAACTGACAGAAGTTGGAAATATGAACCATTGGATTCCGGCCTAGTAGACATGAAAGTCCTGGGTTCGATCCCTGGGGTGGCGGAGTCATGGATGCGCGCTGCTGAGTTTCATACTAGTGAGGCGAAACAGCTGTCCAGTGCTCCCAGGTTTCCGATGTTCCTCCAACTAATGTTAGTCCATAATGAATATCAACTTTTCATTTTTCTGGCACATTTTACTCTGAAAAAAGTCTTTGTAAATGAGTGTCTATCATGTCATTGTAATTTGAGGTTAATGGGGATTTTATCTCTAAGGAAGTATTCATCACTGATTGGGATCAGTTGGAGAACCACCGAAAATTCGGGGGCACTGAACAGCCGTTTCGTTCTTCTATGCGATTCCTCAGCAGTACACACCCACGGCTCGGCTAGGGATCGAACTCAGGACCTTCAGATTTCACGGCTAAAAATATCTTTGGTAAACATTTTGTTTTTCCTAACTTCCTTGCATCGGTATCCGTTGAGAGCTTGCTCCTTAAGCGGTCAGTGATAATCAACTAATAAGTGGAGGCATTTCGAATTGAGTGAAACAATTAACTACCAGTCTTTGGTTTCTGATATTTGTGGTATCAAGATGGGGTGGTTATCAGGTTATGCCAGATAAAAAACCTTTCTCCCCCGACATATTGAAAACAGGCAGGAACAGTGTAGAAAGCAGAATTTAATGAATTTGAAATTTTCAGTAGAACTACTCATCTGAATACTCTACATACTTGTTTTTGTATACCACGGTATAATACAGGGAGATATACGTATATCCATTTAAAACTAGGGCAAAAAATAAAGCTTAGCAGCATAAAAAGAGTTACACAATTTTAAGCAGATGTGTAGAAACATTTGTCACTGGAGGCAAACCATTTTCATGTTGTCTATTCTTAAACGCTGACCGAATTCTACCGATCATTTTGGAATGCGGTCACTAATCTAGGAGACTCAGCATCACGGTGCACTTTGATTGGTGTTAGATGGTTGGTGGCAATCAGCGGAAAGCCCTGAACCTTAATTTCCTGCTTGTTAGCACTCATCAACAAGGCGTATCTGCAACCTCGAAGGAACTAATATCCCCTCAGAGATTTAAACCAATGTCTTGCAGTGCTGTAATCAGAGGTGTTACCACTGAGCTTTTCGGGCTCAACCATGTAACCGTAACCATTATTACTCACGGTCATAGTGAAGAATTAGCCGCTTTGAAATTAACTGTCTTCAGTCTTCATTGAGCTACGAACAACCAGGAATGAATCTGTATAGGCTAGTTAGTTCAGATGAGTCTATAGAGGTCCACTAATTTATTAAAAACCAAGAAGTCGGAGGTTACTATTCTTACCATTACTTTCAGTCAGTCATGTCGAATAGACGGATGATAGGATTCGAAGTAGGTACCGGAAAAAAGTGGTTATCTTTTAATTATTCTCCTGCAACGTTGGCTAGTAGCGCTGCGGTTTGTATTTATGTAGCAGTGAATTGATTTAGGCAAATGTCAGGTCTGGTATTGTCTTTTCTTAACATTTGAAGTTAAGACTGGTCGTTTTTGGTCGAAATTTCTGGGAACGATTGTTATTAGCTTATTTTCGTAGAATTCAAAGGATGTCGACAATGTCTTTCTTTATTCCCCAGACTGCTTTGTTGCTTATTCAAAAGAAGTTCCAATATATTTATATTCAAATTCGCGACATTTAAGATGCGAGTTTAACGGCTTTTGGTAGAACTTATCTCCCTCATATTCTGAACTGTTGTTAATGAGTTCATGGGTATTGACTGCATTTAAGTGAAAATGTACGTTCTAGTCGTTTTAACTTCTTGCCTACTATTCAGCTGGAAAACACAAAGGTGGCCGTCAGTTTCGACTTTATCAAGAAGTCTAGCTTTTATTCTCGGAATAACACTTGCAATGTCACATATTAACCATCTTATTACTGTATACCTACGGATACCCTACATTTGTTAGTTCAGACCAAAATAATAATTTATACTTCAACATTTTATACTTGTTGTAGGAACACAATTCACCGCAGTATGGTAACCATGATTTCAATTAGTTAGCCATATTTTCTCCCATAGCACTGAGTTCAAACGTTGGAAACTCTAACATTATACTGAGTAGCATAATTTCAGGGAATATAAGGATAATTTCTTTGCTTCGAATACTTGGTAACAGTCGAAAAGTTGGAGAAACTGTAAGCGCTTCAGTATTTTGACGAAATTAAATGAGATGGAGATCGAAATGATTGCAGATTAATTAAAAATCGGAACACACGCATATTCATGCACTAGGTAATGAGGCACAACTATTGTGTTACGGCTAATCATACTACCTGGTTGCTCCGATTTCGGTAGGTGAAGTGGGATTTAAACCCGTGACCCATTGTTTGAAAGCTATCTCTCTAAATCAGTGAACCACAGCTCCCCGGTTACTGAACTGGAGCATTAAAATAGTGATTGTTGTAACATATCTTTGATTTTATTCAATACAATTAAATCATCCGCATCTCCTATACTCGGAAATTTAGGTGTAAGTTTTTCCTATATGTTTATACTATAACCTCTCAAAAAGCCTTTAGCTCTCTTTTTAACAAGTTTTTATGGACTTTGTATAATCCCTAACGGAATTTGTTGTATTCTGTCAACATTCTAAGTGATATTTTCGATAAGTTCACGCATGGCCTGTGTTTTATGTCATTTGTTACTCCCTCAAATGCCGTTTACCGTGACTCTCAACTTATTTCGAGATCTTCCAGCATATATCTCATCTTTGCATTTAAATTATTCTTTTAATTGTAAGATTGTATCAGTATATTTGTCTCATTATGATTTAGAGATTGTAGTGACTTCAGAAATTATTATTGTTGTGATTATTATTATTATTACTACTATTATTATTATCACCACTACCACTATTGTCGTTATTACTATTGTTATTGTTGTTGCTATTACTGTCGATACCATTATCATTATTATTTGTCCCTTGGGCTCCCAGTGGAACATAGGGCGTTGCCATTTCACTCTATTCTATGCAATCTTTTGAACGTGCCTCCACCACTCCCCACAAGCTTTCATTTCTTCCCCACACCATCTCCATGTCATCCCCGGACGCCCAACTCACCGTTTCCCATTTGGGCTCCACTCGACGGCCTGGCCTGTAGCGTGATGTCTCCGAATGGTATTCTCAGTGTATACCAAATCCAATCCATCTCCACTTTCTCCTGCATATTTGTTGGGCGATAGATTCTTGGTTGGTTGGTTGCCAGGCCAGGTCAGAGTTCCCTGTTGCTCATTCTTATTATTCTGGGCATCTCATCTTCAGTGTCAGTATCGAGTGAGCGTAGGCGACAGCTGTTGATAAGGTATGTCTGTAGTTTGTTGGAAATACTTTTCGTGACGCACCAAATCTCCCAACCATATAGAAGCACCGACTTGACGTTGGTGTTGAAAATCCGCATCTTGTTCACGCTTTATGCTGAGTGGAGTGCAGTTGATCTACACACTAATCCCAGGTTAATGAAGGCCTCTCTTGCTATCTTTCCGATCCTGGCTACTTTGACATCCTCATCTGTGCCACCGCCGCCACGTGTAGTTGAAACGATGCTGCCTAGGTAGGTGAATGAGACTACTTCATTTAGGTTTCTCCCGTTGTTGCTGTTGTTTGGATATCTTCATCACCTGTGTCTTCTATACGCTGACCTAAAGTCCCGTCTTTGCTGCCTGGCCTCTTCTTCACACTTGTTAGTTTTTGCTTGTAGATCTCCAAGTTTGTGCGAAAAGACATCAGACATAAATCATCATTGGTGAAACCCAGATCTTTTAAGGTCTTTTCATCAGTCCAGCGTATTCCCCTCTTCTCGCTCCTCACAGTTTGGTGCATAATCTAGTCGACCACAATCACGAAGATCATGGGTGATAGTAGGCGGCAACCTTGTCTTACTCCTGTCCAAACTAAAAAGGCGTCACTGAGCTTTCCATTGTGGATCACTTGGCATGTTTCCATCATAATTTTGAATCCAGCGCATCCTTTGGTCTCTCCAGGATGATGCAGCATAACATTTTGCTTGGTGTGAACAGGAGCATGAATACATGTCAGTTCTTGCGAAGACTTGGGTCTCCCTTCTTTGGGAGCTTGACAAGGTAGCCCTTCTTCCAATCAACTGCCAGGTAACTTTTCTTCCTTCCTTGCAAACCTTCTGCAGTAGTGGTGTGGCGTGAGCATGTCCGATGTTGTCTCTGCGTCTGTTTTCAGTGGTTCTGGGGGAATTCCATCTGGTGCTCCTGCTTTCCCGGATCTCAGCAACTCTATGGCATTCCGGACTTCACTTCTGCTATTGTCGGAGGACTGGCGTTCACTGACAGTTCTGTGACTGGGCTGCTAGTGGTATTTCTGGTCGAGTTGCAGGTGGTGGTTGATTCGAGAGTTTTTTGAAGTGGTCAGCCCATTGTTTCCTTTGTTTCTGCTCTTTGGTGAGTGGCTTTCCCCCACCATCTTTTATTGGTTTCATCTGTGTTGATCTCTTCCCTCTCAGATAGTAACCTGATTATTTGATATAGTATTGTCAGGTTTCTCCTACCTGCAGCCTATTCTGCTTAACTTTCCAGTGTCTTTTGTCTTTGTCCAGTGTTTTGTTGGTTGTATTCAGTTCTTCTTGTTGTTCATCCTTGCACTGGTTCATCTGCTTCACCATCTTCCTCTCACTCCTCTATCAGCTTTCATGTGTCCGTGAAGATCCATTCATCGTCCTCTTTCTTCTTCCTTCCTCACATGGTTATGCATGTTTCTTTCCACGTCTCTTTCACAGTTCCAGTGTTCTTCCATGTAGATTTCTTCAAGGGTGCTGCTTAATGTCTACCATCTCTTCCTGATGACTGGCTGGTGTGAAGAGGTCCTTTGTAGTTTCATCCTTCAGTTTCTGGGTGTTCAACTTGAACTGTGGTCTATCACCAACTTCTTTCAAGGCTTTCAACTTGATTTGGAAGGTTCTTTGAACTAAGTAGGGAGTGGTGTGAACCCACATCTGCCCCCCTTCTTGATCCTGTGTCAAGTAGGCTGCGTCTCCACTTTCTTCACATTGGATGAAGTCGATCTGAGTTTTAGTGTGTCCTGGTGTCTGGTGAAATCCATATCGCTTTATGGATATCCTTGTGCTTGAACACAGTGCCTCCAATCACCAAATCATTGAATGCTCAGAAATCTGCAAACAGTTCACCATTCTCATTCATTTCACCGAGCGCTTCTCGACCGGTGATGAGTTCTCTTCCTGTGTTGTCTGCTCCCAGTTTGGCATTCATATCACCCCCCCCATTAGAATGAGTATGATGTCGCCAACTGGGGTGGAGTCTTGTTCAGTGTTGATTGCAGTTGTCTGTAGAGTTCCTCCTCCTTCTCTTCATCTGCATTATTTGTAGGTGCATAGTGTAGAACTGTATGATTTTGACTTTCCTTCCTTTTGATTTGAATCATCAATACTGTCATGATTATCGTTATTATTACTACTTCTTTCCAACTATTTATCCCACCTAATTGCAAAACTTATGGGATTAAGGCCACTGTATACACTCATTAAGAGCCACGTAACTTTCTTTTCATTTCTGTAATAGATTCCGTATTTTGATTGCATAGTTTCTTTACAAGTAGTAATTTTTATCATTCAGTTTACTGTCCGATATCATGGAAAGAACGACATAGTTTTCGTGCATTAATGAATATAGGGTACATGTATGATAACTGTATGTTGTTTTCAAGGACTTCCTTTGATCATATCCACAAATGTTAAACTGTCTCGAACATATCTTGCCTGTTGTTGTGTAAGTCATACTAATGAAGGCATGTTTGGGGTTGACTGAAATGAGAAACGAAATTTACAAAAACCCTTCTATCCGATTGTTTGACTAATTTGTGTTACCATTTATGACTTCACATAAATTCAGAAAAATTTTACGTAAGTACTCGTACATACAATTTAGTCTGTTTAAAACCACTGGAATCACAACCTGTTTGTAAGTTGCCGCTTAGCGACAAACCTCTGCCGACACACATACGGACCCTTATTTATCCCAGTACATGCTAACAAATTTTAAATACTATTAAATTTATAAAAAATTAAGTTTCAATACCCATTATTCTCTACTAAACATAATAAGTATTATCGAAGCAGTTTTAGACACATACGAGTAATCCGATAGTTGCAAATATGAAAAATAGTCTAGTTCAACCCAGTGCAGCTGTTTGTGTACTTGGCCACCGTTTTGTGAGAGCTTGTGCTACTAGTGATAGTTACCTTTCAGTTATGTTTGTTGACTTTGAGGAAATTTGTTTTTACTCCTTGTCTCCAACTTCTTTAAATGTATGCATATTATGAAATGCAGTCTGTTATTCATGCTACTTACTGGTTAAATAGGTCACAAGCTCCTAGAAATTTTATATTCTGGATTTTGCATGAATTGCCTGTAACTGTCGTCTGCCGTTGAGAGTTTTTGTTTCACACATAAAACCATACTGACTAGATAAATAAAAAGTAAGTTTATGAATACTTTCTGTTGTAGTTATCAAGTTTCTTTGATGAAGTGTTATTTTCTGTTTTTGTTTCTCCAAGGCCTGACTCCATCAATCTCAGCATTCAGTTACTAGATTCCTCTACCAGACTATCTCGTGATGAAATGCCTACTGTTCGTTTGGCCTGTGTATACAGAATGATTCGTCTGAGTTCTCAAATTTTTGATGTATACGACAAAGTTTTACCGAAATGTGTTTTGGTGAATCTGTTTCGTCCTCTGAAAACGGCTCTGATAGAAAGCGATTTTCTGTTTTATCCGGCTGTCATAATAAATGAGGTAAGGAGACTTTCAGAGGCAATCACAATTGCGGAAAAGGCTCCTGCACCTCCGCGTCTGGTAGTAGACTCTCGTCTCTCTATTCTAAATACTTTGAAACCAACGGATTCTAAAACTCTAAAAAGATTAGGCATTTTGCCTCAACTGGAACCTGTTTTTGATGAGCGGTAAGTTTCATAGTTCAAATATTTGTACCAAGATTTGGTGCATAGTAAATGTATCCCTGTTTTCGAAGTTATATAAATAAGTATTCCGACCGTCTATTTATGTGACATTATTTTACTTGATAATACACTACAGATTTCAAATGAGTGTATAATGTTCATCTGACGTTGTGATCTATTGTTTTTGAGTCACCCAACACGCTTTATATGTATCAAAACCTTTGAGTACTTAATCCTTATCTAAGGGATTGATCTAACTGTTTCTACCTTTTCTTAATGATGAATAAGAACAAAACATGTATCAGCAAAGAAACATTTCTTTTCAACGACTTTATTATTAAGTTGTACAGTCGTATTTATACTCGGTAAAATGACAGATAATTGCACTTAAAAGTTGCTCAGTCAGTGTGCAAAATATACAATAGGTGTAGGTGGTGGTATTTGTTCAAGTGGAAGAAATAGAAAATAGGTCACTGAATAAAGAACGAATTGATAGCAAGTGGTGAGATAAGAGACATGTGCTGTCAAAGAATTGTAAAACGGTTATAATTTAGCTGAAACATGCAAATGATTAAGGAATTCTGGCTGTTTCCACTGAAAGTCTGAACTGAATTATTGCCAAAAAGATGCATAGACTAAGTTAAACTGAGACTCAATTTCCTCACTGCACATAGCCCCTCATAACTTACAAAATACATTACAGATGAAAATGAGTGGTTAGAAATTAACCATGCTGATCTTTAGATTTCACCCGCTAGATCAGACTAATCCAAACACTCGAAGACCACTTCTCTTATTTTGGGTTGAGTTCATGAATAGTATACCCAAATTAATTCATCTCGTAGGTTTGAGTTGTTCAGGTCACCTGGATCTGATTAGCTGATTTAGATGGGCTGATATACTTTGTTTAAATGATCGGTTCACACCATGGTGTCCATCACGTGTATTCCACAAGGTTGACACATTTTTGCGCTTAGTAATGTCATTTATAATTGTGTCAATGAGGGTCTACCTATGAAATATGATTATTATCACCTAAAGTCATCAGCATTTTCGAAAATACAATAATATTTGTGTTATCTTTCGTTATAGTATATTTGCCTCCCGACGCAGTAAGATTGACACCAAACGAATCCTTCAAAGGAGAGTCGCGAAGGAAAAACGCTGTGCTATGCGTGCTGTTCGACAAGATAGTCAGTTTTTGGCTTCTCATCAGCTGAAGCTTACAAAGAGAAGGTAATTCTAAGTTTTAGATATTAATATTTTGTTATAGACTTCGTGAAAATTTGCTTTCTGGACATACGTCTGGTCATCTTTTCATGATCTACTTCATATTTAATCCCTTTTCACTTTTAATTCAAAACACATTTTGACTTCGGTTTTTTTGCATAGGTCTTATTATACCAGAAAAATCAGTTGAATAGTGGTTAAAACAAAAAGCGATTACCTTTATGATGGGATTAATAAAATATTGCCTCAGACCTGAACAAGGGTGTGTGGATCAGATCCTTCAGATTATGAGACGTAGAGATACTTATTGGTGGCCTACGCTTGTCATATTTGTTGACGTATAGGCAACATTCGACTCTCTCGACTGAGAGTTGTTGTGGCAGTTTTGACTGTGAAAGGGATATGGAGGTAGTATGTGAAGCTCATCAAAACTCTCTTCTTAAACTCATACAACCATAAAATGGCTCATTGAGAGTTGCCGTCCAAATTGGCGACAACTAGTAGTGTCAGCAAGTATTCACACTATCACTATTTCTGTTTACACAGAGGTTGATCTTCTCCCTGGAGAGTGTGTGGTTTACTTGGAGTAGGCAGATGACTTTGTCTTGTTGGGCGAAGACGTCGATTAAATTCACGGTCTTCTGAAGGCCTTGAAGATAAATTTGAGTACATTTGTGATGCGTTAAAGAGCTGTCAGATATAAGATGGTGCTTTAGGACTGGTGCGCATCTACTCCTAACTTGTCTTAGACATGAGAACCAGTAAAGAATGCACATAAACAAGTGCTTCGAATGAAAAGATAGACAATGTAATGCGATGAGTACTGAATGACTGATACATTGGACTGAAAAGGTTACTTGAAGTAGTTGGTCACACAAAATGTAGCGTATTGAGTACATTCAGTTCCAGTTTTGTAAAAGAAAGTCAAGTGGGTGTGCAGTTTGGTGAATCCACTCACCTAAGTTGCATTAACCATGATGATCGAGGATAAATTCATGCAAATACAGCAGTCAGATTTACATTCTCTCTCTAAATCATCATTGATTTTCTCAGTACTTCGCAGACCTATTTACAATATCTTGATAAGGTGCTTTGAATAATACCAATAAGTCAACTGAAAAACAGTTTATTAAGCGATTTTACTGAATTCAATGATATCGACTTTCCATGTTACTTTAATGACAAAAACGAAAGTTACATTAGTGGTGGACTAGATACTTATTAAAAGTTGCCTGTGTGGTGTTAGGCTAAAAGGTTCACTTAGTTCAAGAAGTAACTATCATCTAGGTAAACAGTGTTTCTTCGTTATTTTCGCCTTTGTTTGAAAAAATGTAACATACATATTGTTAAAATGAGTTTTTCTATCGACTGAGAGACGTTTTCGAATGGAAGCTAAATTTCAATCAAGGCTAACCATCGAACCTTCAAGATGTTAATGGGTATTGATTGTACTTACAAGGCGTAAAAGGCATGTCAAGCGGCTTACGGTTTCTCAAAACTTCCTGCTTATAAACGTTAAGGCTTCTTTACTCTTCTTGCGATGACATTACTATGCAGATTATTCCCTTAGGCGAAAAACCACTCAACCCTTTGTGTCATGATCCTGAAGCACAGGTGCTATTTAAGCGGTGACTGCATCTGGCAACAATCGAAAACTGTTGGAGTTCATCTAAGCCACTAGTAACGAAAAGCTTGTTGTCAACGGGATCGTTGGTGAGGGATGTAGTATGCCAACCAATATTCTTCCTTGACTCCCAAAACTTTAAGTGGGGTTCTTCCAAAACCACTTTAGATAGATTGTTCCCCTAGCAGCTTCATTTTTCATTTACTTTATTCCATAATCAGTTTAACATTGACCTACGTAGCAAATTAGAACTGCAAAAGGAATTTTAAGTGATGAAACACCATAACGCACACGGTCCATTTAACTTATTCCTGGCTCTTCTTAAAGTTGAGGACTTGCTTATAGTCGCATAAGTGACATTGCTCGAGACATGGTATACTGATAATGTTTCATCATTTTGGAATGAGACCATTGTTATACCTATCTTTTAAAAGGTTTGCGTTATGCGTATGACAATCATCATCAAAGTGGAGAAAAGATTTTATTCGTGAACAGCAGAAAAGGTTTCGTTTGTGTCGTTAATGTATTGATCATTTATTCACTCGTCATCAGATTCTCAAACATCGTAACACACGTTTCGGTCCAATACTTGTTCTTGTTAAGGGTGTTTTCCATTTGTTAGACAGACCTATACTGTGGAACTATCTGTTAGAGTAGAGTATCTGAGACATTTTTCATCACACTTAAAGCCCTATATAGAAAGACCGTTATTCCAAACCAACAGTGAGGTTAGATAGAGTTGTGTGACTTAACTCCTCTTCACCTTCACTGTCTGTGAAATTCTCAAGATATCTCTGAAAAAAGGGCATTGTGATAGTGTTGGTCTGCTGGTACGAGAAAGATTTTTAGACCTGGAGTATTCAGATTGTATGAATTGACTTTGTGACAACACAAACGTCACTCAAATCTAACTCATCACTTCGGTATGAATCTCCATAAGTATTATATGTACTTCGCACCGTCAAAGTGAAAAGTACTTCTACAGGATTACCAGTAGCGTGTACCTGATGTCGCCCTTGATGGTGAGCGGACTGTTGAAAGTTGTCAAAACGTTAGTGTACGTGGATAGTTGTATGAGAGTGCTGATGGAGGTGTGACCGATGAAGTTTCAAACTGTATATTAAAAGGCAGAGTGGCATACACCAATCTGGGTCAGCTTTGGTACGATTGTGATAACGCTGCTGTAAAGGGTTGAGTATGCAACACGTCGATGCATGTAGTTCTGGCTCACACCTGTGAAATCTGACCTCCGAGCTGAGAATGTCCGACAGCTTGACATGTTTAATCACCGTTGTCTCTGTAGAATTGCTCGCATCCAGTGGTAACATTAAATAGTTCTGAGGTGAGGTAGAGTCTATTTGGACATGATGGAGATCGGCATTCATTCAGTGTAGTCATCTGGAAACACTGATATGTTTGGCTTGGGTATGTATCACAAATATCTTCTTAGTGGCTCTGAAATATGTCAATGTTTGTTATCCTTTTGTTTGGCTACTGGTAATGGAGAAGTGGTCGGTGTATAACATAGCTTCATGCGATGTAGGATACTTGTGTTTTCACTCAGCATCTAGTGGTGCTTCTGAGTAAGATACGATCGACTACGCTACTCGGAAACGTGAGATGATATCTGATATGGCTTGCAGTCAATGGCAATCACGTCGCAGTTTTAGTGTGTTCACTGTTTAAGCTAAGTAACAGTTATGCATTGAGCTTTTTTTTCTTCTAAAAAAGCGATCTGTTCTCCTTTTCTGAAATCTGCTTATCTTGCTTCGTTGTGTTTTTAAATGGCATCGTTTTGCAAACTCATGAATGTCTATGCTAACGGAACTTGTGTTGAAAATCATTAAAAAAAAAACTAAGAATATATGTATATCAACTTTTGTTTGCTTTAGTGACTCTGTTCGTGAGAAGAAGACGAAAGCTATTTTGAATTCACTTCGTTCAGTTGAAGATTAATCAAGTAAATTATATGTGTACCCCAATCATAGAAGTGAAATAAAAATGTATATAACACTGTTACTTTTCTCACGTCATTCATGGCACCTTGTCATTACTCTTCGTATTCATTAAAAACTCATCAGTTGTTCGCAGAAGAATTTAATCCTACCTTTTAGGTGAGGCTACAAAAAGAGCATATTATTCATCTTTTTCCACTTTGCTTGTTTTCTTTGTTCTTCGGCCAACGGAATTATGCTGTAATTTCCTGATATCTTACGCTGTAAGTACAGTTGCTTCTTTGTATCATATGTGTACTCCCTTATCTTGAGATGAAATATAATCTGAAGCTTTTAAAAATTGTGCTGAAGTCCATGAATTTTAAACCGTTTTATCAGGTTTATAAGTGTTTCACTTCTGATAAATAAGCATAAAGTTGATTAAAATTATGCGTTTTTGCAATGTAGTAAGACAAACGTCATCAGCGAAATATGAACGACTATGAGAAAAGACGAGAGCGTAGTTGCATCTACGTCATTACTATGGATCCTGGACGTTTTCACAGATAAAGCATAACAGTTACCTGTTTTTCTCACATGAACCTGTCTCAAATTCAACAGTCGTCTAAACGACTAAAGTCATTCAGTTTCTGACATGTATATATGGTAAAAACGCTATTTGATATATGTAATTTTTCTTCACCTAACAAGGCAATTAGCGTAGAAGACAACTCAAAAATGTGAACCTCGATAAAAAAACGTTGACCTCACTGAGTACTCTACATTTAAACTCACTAAATACTCAACACACAAGAAGTATTAATGATTGTGCCGTTGACTTACAAAAACTACCTAACTCCCCCTCAACATGTACCATATTTGTGTACAAATGTCATAGTTACCACAAGATACTCAAACATGCGATGAAGTGCCACATACAACTTTGAAAATCTAACACACAAACCATGGAAAAGTGACTGTACCCAAAATTTAAATCCCTGTCCAAATATCACCAGTACGAAGACATTAATATCATAAGAATATAGAAAATCCCATCCACGTCCGATAGAGAAAAACAAAAATCAAACTCACACCCAGCTACTGAAAAAATAAAGCGCATCAATACATCACTAACAAACTCCCACAAAAATGCACTACATAGAAAAAAAAGCTCAGCAGACATCCACACGTTTCAAAATTCCAATAGAGACAAAGTGGTTTCTGTAAAAGTCTCGTGAATTGTGTTTATGGGATGTGGTGGCGTTGAGTGATTTTGTCTACTGGAATTGTCCGGTGATACGTGGTTCAATCGAGTTTGGGAAGAGACTGAGGCACAGGTTGTAATTTTGTGTGTGGTAGCTGAGTGACTGACTGATACTTGTGTGTGACAATGGATACGTTGACGGGTTTCTTGTGAATCGATTGCTTTCCCGATGGTGTTCACATGACCATAGTATGTGTACAATGTGCTTTCTGTTGGATGTTGTATGGCGGACTGATTGATTGATTGAGTGAGTGAGTGAGTGAGTGAGTGTAGGAATTGTGTTTTTGAGTCGACGGGTTGGTTGTGTAGTTCGACAGAGTTGGGGTGTGTGAATCACCGAAGTCAGGTAGACTTGTGGGGATTTTTGGAATGTGTGCTTCCGACCAGTTGAAACTGTTCGGCAATAACGTTCCTACATGAAATTCACAGTGTATTTGCATACGTGTGATATATTTAGTTTTGTTTGTGTTGTAGCGTGTGTGTGTGTGTGTTTGTCTGGTAGATGGAGGTGACGTTGTAGTGTGATTGGAGAAAGGCGAAGGCCATTGAGACCAGCTCGATGATGCGTAGGATACTGTTGTGTAGCAAGATGAATTGAGAAACTTTTCGCAACAGTTCGTATTTCGTGCGGTTGAGTGTTTGTGTCTGTTGTTGTGGTGTAGTGGGTATGAGATTTTGTTGTGGATGTGGTCTGAGAGCATAGTCTGCAATGTGTGCAACTGTGCATCATAGTGTCCACCATGTTTGCTGCCCGAGGCTGTTCATCTCTACCTGTGTGCGTATGTGTAAGTTCTGTGCTTGTGTCTTCCAATAACAATGCTATACAGTCTGTTGATGAGATGAATATGAGTTAAAAATCCAGTGCTCTCCGTATACATCCTGAGACAGGTGAATGTGAAGGTGGAGGGGGACTAGGACTGCCTGGCTGTGAAGGGAAGGTGTTCCTCACCATGTGTCATCAATGCAGTGTTTCTGTTCAATTCGATTGTTGTTTGTCCTCAGGTCCTATCGTGTTGTTGTTGTGGAGGGGAGCGCAGTAGTGGAGTAGATGTTTAAGGAATGGTGATGAGGAGGTGAGTGAAGGAGAGCGTTGACTGTCTGTGGAGATGTGTTGCGCGATAAGTGGTGTGACATTGGGCTGTTGATTTGGTTGATGACATGAAGTGTTTGTGACAAGGAGTGGATATGAGATTGAAGAAGGTGGGACTGGTCAGGGTAGAACATGGTAGCATTGGACGAGGTGATTGATTGGTCCATGGAATGACTGATTGGTTGGATGAGTGAGTGAGTGAGTGAGTGGGAGTGTCAGTTTTCTGTTTGTAGTGGTATGCAGGCTACTTGACTTGTGTGCAGGCGATGGTGGTAATGAATGTGTGGGGACTGTGAGAGACTTGACTGAAGATGGATGATGATGGTGGGGATAATTCAACCTTCATTATCGTCTGGAGATGAGACATGTTACAGTCTGTTGTGTGACCACTGTTGTTAGTGAACTGTGATTGGTCTTGTTAATTTGAGTGTTGGTGTGTGTTGTGCATTTCGGCAAGTTGGACGGATGAACTATGATGCGATGTTCTGCGTTTCCGCTTCCGCTTATCAATGTGGTTATGTGGTAGTTATTGTAAGTGAATGGTTGTATGTTTATTTTGCGACAGGGGTAGGTGTATGTGATTTGTGTGTTGTGTGATGAAACATGAGAATGGAGGGGATGTGTGAATACTTTACTAAGATAGTTTCCCGCTGGTCGTCATATGTTTCCTGGTGTGTTTGTTATCCGTGGGTGAGAGTGTTAGTGTATGAAGTCTGAGAAATGTCATATGTTTGAGCGCCTACAGCCAACAGAGTGGCAACATGCCTCTCCTCTTCTCCGTCTTGTCTCCTGTATGTGCATTGATCATGGTTGTGGTTGACTGTTGACTTGATGGACAGATAGATGTGCACAGTCGTCAACTTGTTGTAACGTTGTGAATGAGGAGGAGTGGTTTGTGTAGAAGTTTCGTGAATTGTGTTTATGGGATGTGGTTGCGTTGAATGATTTTGTCTACTGGAATTGTCCGGTGATACGTGGTTCAATCGAGTTTGGGAAGAGACTGAGGCACAGGTTGTAATTTTGTGTGTGGTAGCTGAGTGACTGACTGATACTTGTGTGTGACAATGGATACGTTGACGGGTTTCTTGTGAATCGATTGCTTTCCCGATGGTGTTCACATGACCATAGTATGTGTACAATGTGCTTTCTGTTGGATGTTGTATGGCGGACTGATTGATTGATTGAGTGAGTGAGTGAGTGAGTGAGTGTAGGAATTGTGTTTTTGAGTCGACGGGTTGGTTGTGTAGTTCGACAGAGTTGGGGTGTGTGAATCACCGAAGTCAGGTAGACTTGTGGGGATTTTTGGAATGTGTGCTTCCGACCAGTTGAAACTGTTCGGCAATAACGTTCCTACATGAAATTCACAGTGTATTTGCATACGTGTGATATATTTAGTTTTGTTTGTGTTGTAGCGTGTGTGTGTGTGTGTTTGTCTGGTAGATGGAGGTGACGTTGTAGTGTGATTGGAGAAAGGCGAAGGCCATTGAGACCAGCTCGATGATGCGTAGGATACTGTTGTGTAGCAAGATGAATTGAGAAACTTTTCGCAACAGTTCGTATTTCGTGCGGTTGAGTGTTTGTGTCTGTTGTTGTGGTGTAGTGGGTATGAGATTTTGTTGTGGATGTGGTCTGAGAGCATAGTCTGCAATGTGTGCAACTGTGCATCATAGTGTCCACCATGTTTGCTGCCCGAGGCTGTTCATCTCTACCTGTGTGCGTATGTGTAAGTTCTGTGCTTGTGTCTTCCAATAACAATGCTATACAGTCTGTTGATGAGATGAATATGAGTTAAAAATCCAGTGCTCTCCGTATACATCCTGAGACAGGTGAATGTGAAGGTGGAGGGGGACTAGGACTGCCTGGCTGTGAAGGGAAGGTGTTCCTCACCATGTGTCATCAATGCAGTGTTTCTGTTCAATTCGATTGTTGTTTGTCCTCAGGTCCTATCGTGTTGTTGTTGTGGAGGGGAGCGCAGTAGTGGAGTAGATGTTTAAGGAATGGTGATGAGGAGGTGAGTGAAGGAGAGCGTTGACTGTCTGTGGAGATGTGTTGCGCGATAAGTGGTGTGACATTGGGCTGTTGATTTGGTTGATGACATGAAGTGTTTGTGACAAGGAGTGGATATGAGATTGAAGAAGGTGGGACTGGTCAGGGTAGAACATGGTAGCATTGGACGAGGTGATTGATTGGTCCATGGAATGACTGATTGGTTGGATGAGTGAGTGAGTGAGTGAGTGGGAGTGTCAGTTTTCTGTTTGTAGTGGTATGCAGGCTACTTGACTTGTGTGCAGGCGATGGTGGTAATGAATGTGTGGGGACTGTGAGAGACTTGACTGAAGATGGATGATGATGGTGGGGATAATTCAACCTTCATTATCGTCTGGAGATGAGACATGTTACAGTCTGTTGTGTGACCACTGTTGTTAGTGAACTGTGATTGGTCTTGTTAATTTGAGTGTTGGTGTGTGTTGTGCATTTCGGCAAGTTGGACGGATGAACTATGATGCGATGTTCTGCGTTTCCGCTTCCGCTTATCAATGTGGTTATGTGGTAGTTATTGTAAGTGAATGGTTGTATGTTTATTTTGCGACAGGGGTAGGTGTATGTGATTTGTGTGTTGTGTGATGAAACATGAGAATGGAGGGGATGTGTGAATACTTTACTAAGA